AATGTACAGATATAACTCAGAGTCCCCAGCTTCTGTTTCTGTCTGATTGGACTAAAGGTCTTTAACTTTCCAACAGGCAGGTGAGCTGATGGCAGATTGTGACACAGCTTCATGGGATTAAAACAGATATAACATTTATCAGAGGACCAAACTGCCTTCTTKTTTTGTTTTTGTCTGTGTGAGAGATTTTAATGAAAATAATCAGTGCCAGTGAGTGTTTTTATTTCAAGATAAGCACCACAACCATTTCTATTTACCTCTATTCAAGCASATGAGTCGATTAGAACCAAATTTTATTTACAGAGAAGCAGCAGCAAAAAGTTAATTATRCACATATGTCAAGTTGTWTGGATTGTCTGTAATTTACATGGTTTYGCCCTCATTTTGCAGGTATWCGAACAYATAGAGCAATCTCACAGATTTTTTCAAGTTTTACGAATTTTTTCAAAAACTCAGTTTCAAACTTAACATGTCTGAGCCTGTWGGACGTTAATAAAACAAATAACATCAAATAACCATATTCCAACCTGCTCTACAGAAAGAAATAAGCTCTCCCGTCCTCATTTCCTCAAGCTTTGCGCTGCAGGTGTCATTGACAGTCCGCCTGCACCCCTACATGTGATTAATAAAGATTTCTTGAAAAAATTACTAATTTTTGAGGCTCATTATACAGGTAAATATCTGAAGAGGTTGACATGTATGATTATTCAAAAAATCATTGAACTAAAACTAATTCTCAATAGAAATGAAAACAACTGAAAACAGAGAAAATTCTCATGTTTGTGATGTCCCCCAACAGAACCGTCTTCTGATCCAGACTCCAGTTCTAATGAAACCGTTGTTCAGATTTACTGATGAACTCTGAGATCAGGCAGCTCTGCTCTGAGTGTGTTGGGAGTCTGAGTCTGCACTCAGTGCATTCATCACACAGATTCAGGTACACGTCAGAAACTATCTTTCACAATAAGTTGTGGAAAATAAAATATTGGTCCAGAGCTTTAGAGTTTTTAAAACTTATTTTGATTACTGAAGGCAGCAAACTGGATTATAGGTGGAGCGAACACTGGGAAGAGTCAGGATGACAAACTAGATACAYAGCAGTAGCATATATGACCCCCGCATATATGCAAAGCACGTTTATTGTTTGGGGTTGGAATCCGGAGTGGGGGAGCAGTGTTAATTGGTGGACCCGATGGATAGCCCCTCATCAGAGTTAAAACAACAAAGAATATCTGAAGCTCCTATGTTGAATAGTGTTTGAGTTATAAGCATTTTTTTGTCCAAACACCCCCTTTTTGGATGGAGCTGACAAAGTTCGTGAAACGGGTTCAGAACACAGGGAAACAATAAAAGTTTAAAAACTTTATTATAGAACCGTAGACTGGGAYGGACCCGGGACACTGGTTGGCACTTTCTTTTGGAGCTGAAGGAGGAGGCTGAACAGATCCAGGTGAGGAGTCCGATTCTTGGGGTCCGTGGGTCGAGCTTTTGTCCGATATCCGTAAGGGAGGCGTGGGTCAGAGCCGGGTGATCCGAGAGCTGATAATAAATMCAATWCGAGATCCACAAGGTGAGGTCCGGGGGCAGATMATRTGGTCRAGAGCCARAGGTCAGAAGTTGGTACAGAACTGGAYGAGGGACAGGCAAGGTCGGAGAGACGAGAGTCAGGCGTGGGGTCATGAACATGAGATCAGGCTTGAGCAAAGGAGAAACGCTGGACTAGGTGAATTCCGTTCAATAATCTGGCAGTAAGGGACTGTGGCAGTAGACCTTAAATACTGGTGAAAGCAGGTGAAAAGGATGAGCTGAGATTGCAWTAAGGGAGTGGCAAGGCTAATAGGATAATTGACTGTGGACTGTGGACATGGAACATGGACTGTGGACTGTGGACATGGAACATGRAATGTTACAGAGCCCCCTCCTCAAATATTGGGTCTTTGGTAAAACTGTTGGCTGGTACAGTGTAGGTTGGACATATTCCTGCCWAATTCCATGTTGATTAGTGCAGCTTTTTCTGTGCTACYGTTGACCAAATATCACTGAAATGACTAAAAATAAATAAACAAATAAATAAACAATATGACCCCMACTTTGTGAGTGCAGGTCATAATAATTTAATATGAACATCTTCACTATGTGCTTATTACAAGATTTATTTAGTAGTATTTTGTTTCACCTTTTCAAATAKTGTTCTGAAACAGCTGCTGCAGAACCTCCTGACAGAGATGGAGACTAAATGAGACTTTCAGTTCTGCTGTCTGCCTCTGACAGCAGCAGGTTACTGTTCATCAGACAGGAAGTGAGTGGCAGAGATTTGTTGCACTCTCTGTGAGAAATACAACCTCTGGCAAAAAGTATGGAATCACCAGTCTTGGATGAGCACTCATTCAGACATTTCATTCTGTAAAAC